AGGGAATCAGATGAAACTGGGGAGCTCTGGATGAAGCGAGGTGCTGCTCTGGGAGCTGGAACTGGGGAGCTCTGAATGAATTGAAGCACCGCTTTGAAAGCTGGAACTGGGGTGCTCTGGATGAGGCCAGGTGCTGCTCCCACAGCTAGAGTCCTGCTCTTGTGCCCTGCTCCAGGGGTTCCTCTAGGGCAGATCAGCCGCTTCTGTGGGTTGGTGGTGGGGGAAGGGTTGAGAGACACTTGGGCAGTGCTGGAGGGGCATTCACTGTCAGGCCACTGCCTGCTGGATCAGGAGATGAGGAGGTCACCTCCAACTTTCTCCTTTTGCTCTTCTGAGTTGTAGCGAGTTCCCAAACGTCTCAAGAAAAAAGCATATTTGTCATAGTATTTGTGCATGCACTTTGTCTGGGCTTTCTGCATCCGTCCCAGAGGACAAATTCTTCAAAACCCCAGCTCCACGAAGGGCGCACCTGCAACATGTTTATTTCCATGTCAGCCAAGGCCGGTGGAGGGAGGAAGCGGGGCGGGGAGAAGCGCCAAAAGTCAAAGTCATCCTGGACGCTTGGTTTCTCCCGGATGTTTCAGTGGGGCCAAGGAATGGTGAATAGCGCGGTGGGGCCGTAAATCCCAAGCCGCTCCTCCAACATTCCTTTTGGAAAAGGGAGCTGTGTCTTCAGTTCCCTTGTCTACTCTGAGCTCTGCCCACAGGATGCTGGGCAGGCTGCGCCATTGCAGCCACATCCTGCGGTCTGGCGAAGGGACAGGCTCCCCACTAGCGGCGCCGCGCTGGTCACGTCGTGGGTGGGAACTCCACGTTTCGGGAGTTGCAGCACTTCTGCCATCCTGACTGCAGTGGGAATGAGACTAACAATCAAATCAGTGCTACCAAACTGAAATAAAACACGCACACGCGCGCGTGCGCACACACACACACACGTTTATTTTGAGACAGGGTCCTGCTCTGTTGCTCAGGCTGGAGTGCACTGGCGGCATCACAGCTCACTGTAGCCTTGAACTCCTGGGCTTAACACCCAGGGGACATGCACCAGCACACCCTGCTGGGTTGTTTTTTTTTTTGAGACGGAGTCTTGCTTCGTCGCCCAGGCTGGAGTGCAGTAGTGCGATCTCGGCTTACTGCAAGCTCTGCCTCCCGGGTTCACGCCATTCTCCTGCCTCAGCCTCCCGAGTAGCTGGGACTACAGGCACCCCCCACCATGCCCGGCTAATTTTTTGTATTTTTAGTAGAGATGGGGTTTCACCATGTTAGCCAAGATGGTCTTCATCTCCTGATCTCATGATCTGCCCCTCTTGGCCTCCCAAAGTGCTGGGATTACAGGCGTGAGCCACCGCTCCTGGCCCACCCTGCAAATTTTTAAACATGTTTTTGTAGAGATGGGATCTCACTGTGTTGTCCAGGTGGATCTCAAACTCCTGGGCTCAAGTGATCTTCCCCCTAAAAATTACATTTTCGACCAGGGTGAATTTTATGGTATGTGAAATATATTTCACTAAAGCCATACCAAATTATATTTTTATATGAGATGTCCCATTGAGTTTATTTGGCTACTTTTCCTGTTGATCAATGATTATTTTCCTTTTGATACTCCCAGCATGCTATCCTTATATAGATTTTGAAAATTTAATCCATTATTTGTTATGCAAAAGGATTTACAATATATGTACATATTGTATAATTTTATATACTATAAAACTATAGCAAATAGTTATCTGCAAATCTATCTACATTTCTCAGAAAGTACCAAGTTTTGTTTTGTTTTAAAAAAATAATGGATGCATTTCACTTACAATTACCCTGTAATAAAAGGAACTCGGGGGGTTCTGAGGTTTGTACTCTTCTCTTCTCCTTGGCTCAACCAAGTCTTTCTTGTTGAGTCAGTGTGAACAATGAGCACCATGAGGAGCTGGAGACACTGTCCTGCTATGGACACACGGGTTTATATCGAGGGACACAGGGGAGCTGCGGTGCTTTGTTTCCCACAGTGATCACAGCAGGTGAGGAATGTGTATGGTCAGGGCTCTGCCAGCCTTGCTGGAATTCCAGAAGCACGTGTTGTAAAGTGTTGGCAGGCCTTTCAGGTCAGTGATTTTCAAAACTTTGGAGCCAAGGGAATCCCCCCATTCAGAATTTGCAGATGCTCCTTAAGGAAAACCTATAACCACTCCCGACACCCACCCCCCGCCCCCACTGCCTTCTCCTTGCCATGGGCAGTGGGCACCATTTATAAAATTCTTCTGAATGCTGGTCTTGGCAATGAAGGTTTTTTGTTTTTTGAGACTGAGTCTCGCTCTACTGCCCAGGCTGGAGTGTAGTGGCACGAACTCGGCACACAGCAACCTCAGCCTCCCAGGTTTAAGTGATTCTCGTGCCTCAGCCTCCTGAGTAGCTGGGATTACAGGCGCTTGCCACCACTCCTGGCCAATTCTTGTATTTTTGTAGAGACGGGGTTTCGCCATGTTGGCCAGACTGGTCTTGAACTCCTCACCCCAGATGATCCGCCTACCTCGGCCTCCCAAAATGCTGGGATTACAGACCTGAGCCACCACACCCGGTGGACTGTGAAGGTTTTATTTGTAAAGCTCATTTCTGCATCTCTCAGTAATGTCTTTAAATAGTAGCTTAATAAGTTAAGCAGTTTTCTCCATAATTCTGTTTCTTTTGGTCTCAAGAAGAAACTCTAGAAACAGTACACTTACAGCCATCAGGTGCTACAAGCTGGCATTTTGGATTACTTATCTAAGGCAGGTCTGGCTAACCTTGACTGATGGATCCAGTGGTGTTTCTCTCACAGTCACTTCCTCCTGTTCTTGTTTCTCACAGGTCAGACCCAGCTGTGGCCCCAGCCAACGTGGCCCTTCTGTTCTTACTCCAAGAGTCCTTGCCGTGATGAAAGGGGCTGGCTCTCATCAGGCCCCTCACTGGTAAAAAGAGATAAGAGCCAGTCCTTCCAGGGCCTTGCCACTGCTCCCTGAAGGGAACCTGTTGGGAAGGAGCGGTTTCAGTCATGGTGGAACCCCTGGAGGTTCTCAGATTCTTACTCTTTGAAACTTCTGAACGGAGTAGTGCTTTCACCCCGGGAAAGTTTGGCAAAACTGAAAGGAGGGACAGGCTTTGCGAGGGGTAATTTAATGTGTTTTGTAAACAGATAGGGGTTCACTAGTGTATATAAACATGCAGACTTGGTTGGTTGAACTTCAGGGATCAATAGAATTCAGAGGGTCACGGTTTGAATACAGAAGCAATTTTGCAAATCTTTCTGTTTGTAAATGGTGTCTTGAAATCAATAAACTTCAGCAATTCAAATCATTGTGCAAACCCAGGCCTGTACGGAAAGCCAAATCACAAGCCTTTGTGGTGAAACAAGCAAAGCCTCTGGTTCTCCACCAGCAGAGCTGGTCAGAGCCGATGACATTTGCAGAGACTGACCACATGGCCAGCAGTGCCAAGAGTTCCCACGTGCAGCCTTGTTAGGAGTGCTTCCTCGCCGCTTCAAGATGTCCAGTGGAAATTTCCACTCCTTTCAGTGACATTGTGCATATGTCTTTCTCGTTGTCTTGGGTTGGAAGACTAAATTAGAAACAATAATTTTCTCTAAGTTTTATCTGCTCACAGAAAATACATACGAACTTTAAAATATATTCATTTTCCCAAAATTGGCCTTTGTAAGTGACTGTGTGCTTTAGTGCAGAGTTTCTTCTGCTGTGAGACAAGGCTAATCTCCATCAGAATCACCCACAGGGCTGGATAACAGTGCGATTTGGATCCTCTCTTGACCCCCTGCTCCAAAATCTACAGGGCAGAGCCAGAACGTGCTTTGTTCTAACGTGTGGCTTCGTGGTGATCCTCCTGCACTCCAAAGTCTCAGAATCAAAGTCTCAGTGTTAGTCTCTCAGTATTAGTCTCTGCTGTGAGTCCTTTTGGACATAGTTTCCTACTCTTTCTGTTATAAAGTGTCTTCACGTTTTGATTTAAAAAAGACCTATTGGTTAAGCTATTCTGTGGTATATATTTGTAATAATTCATTTTCTTAAAAAACCCAATTTTTAAACTGGGTCTCCTGGTCAGGCACAGTGGCTCATGCCTGTAATCCCAACACTTTGAGAGGCCGAGTCAGGTGGGCCACTTGAGCTCAAGAGTTTGAGACCAGCCTGGGCAACATGATGAAACCCTGTCTCTACCAAAAATACAAAAAATTAACCAGGGGTTAGTGGCTCATGCCTGTAGTCCTAGCGACTTAGGAGGCTGAGGTGGGAGGATCACTTGAACCGAGGAGGTCGAGGTTGCAGTGAGCTGAGATAGTGCCACTGCACTCCAGTCTGGGTGACAGAGTGAGACTCCATCTCAAAAAAATAAAATTAAATAAATAAAAATAAAATAAAATTAAATAAACTGGGTCTCCTGTGACATTACTTTGTTCTATGTTTAAACAAGGATAATTATGTCTTATTGAAGTCATATTTGACACATCCAAAGCCACAGATTCCAAAACACTGATAATTAAAGAGAAGTATAGATTCTCTCCACTGTCATTTGAGGCATTTCCAGAATAATTTTTACCCAAACATGAAACAAATAATGAATATCAAATTTGAGATGCTGAGAGTTTATTATATATAAATTTTGTTACATCTGCTAAATTTTGTAATATTGTTGTAATTCACTAAATATTTTTAATTGACGTAAAATACACATAAAATTTATCACCTTAACCTTTTTAAAAAATCTTAAGCATTTTAAGTGTGTGGCTGAGTTCTGTTTTAAGGATATATAACTGTTATACAACCAATATCTAGAACTTTTTCAACTTGCTAAATGAAACTTGACCCATTTCTCTCAGCCCAGCCCATAGTAGCCACCATTCTACTTTCTGTCTCTATCAATTTGCTCCAAGAATTCTGTCTCTATCGATCTGTCTTTATGAATTCTGCTCTAAGTACCTCGTATATGTAGAATCATACAGTAGTGGTCTTTTTGTGACTGTCTTACTTCACCTGGCATAATGGCCTCAAGGTTCATCCATGCAGTAACATAGTTCAGCTTTTCCTTCTTTTATGAGGCTGAGTAATATTCCATTGTATGCATACCCCACCTTTAGCTTATGCCTTCATCTGTCCATGGATACTTGGGCTAATGCTGCTATGGACATGAGTATCTCTTCAACACCCTGCTTTCAGTTCTCATAGATATGTACATGGAAGTTGAATTGCTGGATCAAATGGTTACTTTTGCTTTTTCAAGAAACCACCATATTATTTTCCATAGTACCTATATCATTTTATATTCCCACCAGAGTGTACAAGGACTCCATTTTCTTCACATTCTTACCAACGCTTGTTATTTCTGGGTTTCTCTCTTTCTCTTTGTTTTGTGTGTGTATTTATTGATTTTTGGATAGTGCCATCCTGATGGGTTGGGTGTGATCTCTCACCGGTAGGTTTTCCTTTTTATTTCCCTAATGATTCCTGATGTTGAGCATCTCTCCATATTCAAGTCCTTTGCCCATTTTTCAGTTGGGTTGTTTTTGTTGTTGACTTGTATACGTTTTTTACGTATTCTGGATAGCAGTCCCTTGTCAGGTACATGATTTGCAAGTCTTTTCTCGCACTCAATGTGTTTCGTTTCCACTCTGACGACAGTGTCGTTTGATGCACAGAAGTTTTACATTTCGATGCCGTCCAGTGTATCCATTTTTCCTGCTGTGGTCTGTGATTTTGGTGTCATAGCCAGGAAATCACTGCCAAAGTCTATGCCATGACCTTTTCCTCCATGTTTTCTTCTAGGAGTTTTATAGTTTTGAGTCTTAGGTTTAGGTCTTTGATCCATTTTGAGTTAATTTTTGTCTGTGGTGTTAGGTAAGGGTCCAACTTCATTCTTTTGCATGTAGATACCCAGTTTTCCAAATACCACCTGTGGAAGAAACTGTCCTTTTCCCTATTGAATGGTCTTGCCATCATTACTGAAAATCATTTGCCCATATATGTAAGAGCTTATTTCTGGCACCTCTACTCTATTCCTTTGGTGTATGTATTTATTTTTATGCCCTCTTCTGCTATCGCCTGGCCATTGCACAACACTGCAATTAACAATTTTTAAATTGCTCCCTTAACAAAACAAGTTTTTTAAAGATACTTTTAAAAAGTATTGGAGATTGTAGGGTGGGCAGCATGTTCCCATCTTTGAATGATGAGTGTGGCTGCCTAAGGTAACCATGTCTCATGTTTATTCTGATAAGACTTTCCACATTGCTGCAATATTAAAATGCTATTGCTTTCGGGAGTCTTGAGTCTTTAGTAAAATTCTCATCCTCATGCAAATGGATGGGAATACGACATTTTTTCCCCTCCGAGGCATAATTAGGACACATTGCAGGAGAAAGTCAGATTTTCTAGAATCAATTTTTTTTTTCATATTTTACTAATACTGTAGGGGAAATGGAGAAATCCTATTTCTCATTCAAAAGCACTGCACTGGAGCATCATGATGTTTTGAAGCTCTCTCCTCTCCTCCTCCCACACCGTTTGGTGCTCAGCCTTGTCTTTCCATCAGAATCATTGCTGATGGGTGCGTCTGTGGTGCTACAGCACCGGGGAAGGCTCCGATTCACACAAACCCTCTCCACTGTCGCCTGGCCATTGCCAAAACACTGCAAAATCCTTTGTCCTTTGGCTGAGCAGCCCTTTGGTGTGTTAAGATGAAGAGTATGATTGTAAATTCAACCTCCACCCCTCAAGGTGACTACAATTCAGATGCTGCCCCAGGGCAGAATTCCAGTGGACAGAGCAGGGAGTGGGATCAGGGCTGAGACCACTGAGGCCTTCCTGGGTGAGGCAGATGCCTGGAGCTGGGTGGCCAGAATGTGGATCCCCCTACATGTTTATAAGACGCTGGCATTACTGAAGGGTATTGAATGGCTCAAAAGTTCAAGCCCTCTAGGCACAGCCAGGACTGCAGGCACTGCCAGGTGTCACGGCCCATTTGGCATTGCTCAGGTCCCTTGCCTGTAGCACTACCCTTACCTGCCACCTGTGTGCCCTGTGGTCTTACCTGCCTCCTGTGTGCCCTGTGGTCTTACCTGCC